AAAAATCATGGAGTCCCTGATATGCGATGGTATAAATGACTATTTTCTGTCCTTAAATTTCTTCTCACCCCAACATCATGGTTTCAGGAAGGGTTACTCTTATGTAACCAACCTGCTGACTGCGGCGGACGGATGAACAGGCATCCTTGATCACAAGGGAAAGGTTGATATCATATACCTAGATTTCTCAAAAGCTTTTGACAAGGTTAACCATACTTGTCTTATCGATAAGCTCAAACAATTGGGTATCAGACCACCTCTAATCGATTGGCTCACTTCACACCTGAAAAATCGACATTTTAACGTCAGGGTTAATTTCACTTTATCTCAGGCTATGGAATGTCCTAGTGGGGTCCCCCAGGGCTCAGTACCAGGACCTCTTCTCTTATTGGTCTACATAAATGATCTTCCTCAACAGGCAACGTCAGACTTATCACTTTTTGCTGATGACGTGAAATTTTGGAGAGAGAGATACACAACCAAGACGATATACAGGCAATTCAGGAGGATGTGACTCGGCTTCAAAGTTGGGCAGACAATAACGGCCTTACCTTCAACACTTCAAAGTGTAAAGTAGTTCATCTGCGATATGTCACAGACTACAGTTATAACTTAGGTACCTCCTCTCTAGTAGTATCCCAAGTAGAAAAAGATTTTTAATCAGACTGATCTGAATCAGTATACTCATTAGAAACAGGCAACTCTACTTACTAAACTGATCTGTTTCGTTACAGGCTTCAAGCACTATACTTAAGTATATCATAATTCTTTCAACTAATCAGTTCAAACTGAATTATACGACAACCAAGAATACTAGACCAAGCAAGTGTCATGGTCATTGTTCCATTTGCAGAAACATGTTGCTCAAAGTAGTTAAATGGACATAATTAAGCCGATAAAACCAAAACACGAAATACAGGCCAGTTGAACTTACCTAACAGAAGATAAGGGATGTATATATTGCTTTCCGACTGAAGACAACAGTCAGTTGTTCATAGAAACATAGTTTACAGTACAACAAACCTTTCTTCAGTGACATTATACACTGAAGGTCTATCTGGAAACAATCAACTATGTGATTAAACTCACTATGACTTGGGATAACATCTCAGCGTGCAGTGAACGTACAGTGTAACGCAGTCAGACGCGGCGAATAAAAACTAAAAACAGAGCAAAATTAACAACATAATCTAGTTATTTAATTAAAATACATTGTGAAATGACAAAATCTGTGGTTGCTTGAACGCACAGATGACCTATGCGATACATCAAGTTTACATGGTTGCGTTGCGGATAAATTCACCCTTTTTGGTCAGTTTGACTGGAGAACGTTCCACATAATCTTCAACAGTTTCATTCGTCCCCATTTAGAGTGTGGAAAAATAGTATTTCCTCTCTCACTCCAAAGAGATAAGGACACTCTGGAGCGTATCCAACGGTGAGGCACAAAATCAGTTCGGAGACTCAAATTCAAGCCTTACGAAGAGCGCCTCCATTCACTAAACTTTTACCCATTATCGTAAGGGCGTCTTGTAGGTGACCTTCTAATGGATTACAGTATCCTTAACACTTCTGGATGTCCACCCAAACACCTACTTAAGCTTAGTTCCAACACTAACCTAAGAGGTAACACCCGAAAACTGGAGACACAACATAGCAGAACGGACTGTAGACACAACTTCTACTCCTTAAGAGTTGTCAAATGCTGGAATTCACTGCCGGCCGAGCTAGTTCAAGCGACCTCCCACGAGTCCCTTAAGAGGCAACTTGATCTATTATTATTGAGGACTAAGGATGGTATCACACTATAATTTACTGATTTCTTTTCCTCTTTTATTGTTAACATACCTAGGTTCCTGCCTGGAGGATCTGGTGATCCCCTGCTACTAGACACGGAAGCCTGTTAAGCGAAAGCTTCTTCTATTCCGTCCATAACCATTTGAACCATTTGTATTATCACTTTTGCGCGTACTTCCACAGACATACAGCTGTAAGTCTTTGGATGAATCATTCCATAATAAACTGAACATAAAAAATATGAGCGGATCAGCAGCATTGATCTTTAAAACACTGCCTTCATACGAAGTGCACGAATGGTAAATTTAGAATTTATATCTCTGACCTTGAGGTTGCCTACTAAGTGTGGTTATTCCAAAGCGTAGCGTCACTAGAATAAAATGACCGTCGGTGAGATAAAAGGAAAATCTAAAGTTGAGGATAGGTCTGAAAAGAAAAACCAAAAACCAGTCGAAAAGATAGACATTACACTTTTGGAAGAAGATGACGACTTCGAAGAGTTTCCAGCTCATGGTAAATACATGTAAATAATCATTTTCAAAATCACTGTAGCTTGCGTAGAAGGCCATCCTAACGAGGAAGCTACTGTTTGGGAAGACAACTGGGATGATGATATTGTGGATGACGAGTTTACTCACCATTTAAGGTATTCATGATGAAAATATGTCACTTTTTGTTAGAGCTGAGTTCCAAAAACAGGGAAAAGCCTTCGTTGTACCTGAAATCTCTGCGAACTTGGATTAAAAACTTCAGAAAATATGATATAATTAAATAAAGTTCTCTAAATCGTCTACGTTGTTTTGGTTTGATCGTTTGCTTTCGATTTGGATGAGTTTTTAGTAAATTATATATTGCTGCAACGTAATTTGTTATTCAATTTCTAAACAATGTTTAAGATTGCTTTAAGCGAAGAACTTTAATACAGAATTCTTTTTTATCTATCTATTTTGTGGATTACCTGATATTTTGAAGTCCATAATGTATCAAAGGATTTGTTAGTAAGGAAATTACACCTCGTTAATCAGCATATTTTCGGCCGTTCACGAAGTAAAATATAAGTTGCTTAGATGGGGAAGCTAAGAATATCTCAGAAGCTAATTTTAAATATGTTTGAAGATTTAGTTATTAGACATCAATCATGACAAAATTCTTGGATAGTTATGTGTTCATATGAAATGATTTTCGGAATTATGGAAACTGATTCAACGATGCTATTTAGACGTGTCACTCATGCTGTAACAGACCTCTGTTAACTATGGTAGTGAGTATGAATTATAACATTTGAATTTTTCGTAGTAGTTTGTCAGGTTCTTTCGTTCTTTACTTCATTGCATTAATTTGTCGTGGTAACGTGGAAGTTTACTCTTTATCACATTTGTCCGTATAATTGAGTTAGGGTTTTCATTCGAATGGCAGCAACATTTAATCGGACTTTTCTCCAGAATTCTCATTGCATAGACGTCAATTCGATATTGAACCCATTAACGTATCGGTTATTAGATGTTTCACGTACCAAACTTTCAGCTATGTAGCAAGTAGTTTAAGGATGGAACCATTGGTCTTATTAGTAAAAGACTTGTTCATTGATCAGGTTCTATGCGCTCATCGAAGCCTATTGCTTGAAAAAATGCAATAAAGCTGTTGTTGTAACCTATATAATTATGTGCTTCTGACTGTAAGCACCGTAAGCGAAGAACAAAGCTCAAATTACTTGCAGAGTCACTATCATATCGATTGTAGTACATCCTTAATAAACTAACGTTTTTATGCGCTTCCCATTTGAGTCATTAATGGTTTTACTATCGTCGAGACTGTATTTATCCATTAACAACTCAAGGGATTTTGCAGTTCGCTCGTGGTAACGTTGCAGTGCGTTAAGAGTTTCCTTGAGTCACTCTATTTCTTCAGACATCTTTTTAAGTCATATTCTCAATGTTTGGTCTTTCTCACTATCATTATTCGTACAAATACTTCAACTCTTTGTTATGTATCTTACTAACTCGTCATTGAAACGTGGGCTAGTGTATATTTGTGTTAGGTTCTGCGTCAATCATGACTGGCTAGTGGTTTCAGCCTATTCATAGATCGATTTTGAGTGTCGACTTTATATCTAGCTGGGTATTTCGTAACTACATGTAACGAGGTGTAATTTAATCGTTTATGTGCTTATTACGAGCCTGTTTCCCAGAAGTAATTAGTTTCATATAGTGATGTTCTTTCATTACCCTAGATAAGCAGCCTTTAAATGTGGTACTTGAAACCAACTTGCTGTTTATGTTTGATGGAACCACCGACTGCGTTATGTTTATGTCATACGTGGATTTTAAGTAGAAATGGGAACTCAATCTAAAAGCCTGTAAGCCTGCACGTTATGAACACCAAACCACCATTTACTTCGATCCCCTTTGTTATCTAGCATACGAGTTGGTGGACGAAAGGTAATGAATCCCACTTTAAGATGTGATATCAGTTTGTAGCTCCGCCAATTGTTGGTCTTAGATGTATGGGGAGATGTAAACTTCCTCACTGGGGATTTCACAATAGCTCGGTTGTGTTAAGTGATGTTAGGTGAAAATCCCCCAGGTTGGTTGCAATTGGACCCATTCTTTGTATCTCTGTAAATCTTAACACCGTTTCATAATTTTTAATTTTTCAGTCTCATCTATTTTGAGCTATATTCCTCATTTTTAATGCTTATCATTGCAGCTGATACTATTATTTTCATATGATCAGCTTTTTCTGTGCTAATATGAGGCATGATTTCTACTGGTACATGTTCGTGACAAATCTTGTTGTCTATGAATAGGTGACCATTTGGTGTCAACAGTTAAATCTTTTCTTTGGTAGACTAAGAAATTTTTGGTAGAACAAAAATACATTTGTTAGTTTAGTGGTTTTCAAATGTGATATTGTTACCTTCTGTAGTTATTTTTAAATAAGCTGGTTGTAAGGCCATATATACGTAGCCATTGCTAGACGTTTGTATTGGTTTTCAAGAAAAATATTAAGTTAACCATTTTTAAGTGTTGTACTTAAGTTTAGTGGTTGTACACATTTTTAATCCCGAGGACTTAATATGTGAGCACTTGTTCTTGAAATAATCATTTCAGCATTTGGTGGTTACGTTGTTTCCTAAGATATCCATCTGTAAACTTGTTTTTCTTCTGAGTTTACTAACGGCTTGTCTTTTTTAGTTTTCAGATATGCAACCCATAAACAATATTGTTAGTGAACACATATCTACCGGTTCCTCATGTTATAAACTTGATCCTTTGCCAGAATTTCATTCCAAAGAAATATCAATAAAACGTAGTCCAGATCCATATCCAAACGAATTCTGCAGTCTCAATCCACAACACGATGATGACTTATACAAATCTGTACGTTCTCTGGATGAACTTGAGGAAAATTTTATTCATTCTCCTGAAGAAACTTTACTCCTTACAAATGTCAACGGCTTTTGGAAACAAGAAAATATCAAGTGGTCATCAAATAGTCCTAAATTTTCACCTCCAACGAGTCCATCGTTTTCCTACCAATCTATTTCTTCAGATTGTCTTAGCGACGAACCTGAACACAAACCTCAACCTTTCCTACGTTCTCATCATGACAGCAGCTCTGAAGAAGTAAGCAGAGATGACGAAGTGAAAGAAGATATAAAGTCTGTCAGACCCACTTTTATGCGGCATATGCAGTTTCCTACTAAGATGTAAGATTCTACAGTGAAGTTATACTCAACTTTTTTTCTACCTAATGTGCACAGTAACAACACACTTTACCTGATACCCTCGGTTTTTTTTTACATGTTACATTTACTAGTGAATACTGATAGGTAAAGTTAGAAAACTCAGAATTCACTCTCAGTCTTACCAAGTTATTATAGCTCAAGACCATGTCTTTATTACAAACTGGAACCTTTCCCCGTATGCTGAGGATTGAGCAACCAGGGGCCATCATTATCCCCACTTAATCGCTTGAAAAAAGTTATTAATGGCTATGTGATGACTTTTTCAAGTTATGTGGGGACTAGATTTTGTCCGGCTTTTCGTTAGTAATGTGGTCGCAAACAAATGACCACAGAATATCCTATCTAGTTAAAATCTTATTACAACTAGTTTCACCTCGAGGTTAATTTCAGTGCAAATGTTTTAAACAAATATCATTTCCTAGTAAAATTAAGATTGAATTTCAAACTGTAAGTAAAACATATTCTTTCATCCTTTAACATATATACATACACAATTACACAAACCTGCCTCACATAAACCACCTTGAGGGAAATGACATGACTTTGTCAGACCTGATTTTGATTGGTCGCACCAAATATTCTCGCTTTGTTCATTTGTACTATTTAAACGGGTTAATTTAATTTGTTTATTCATTTTCTAAAGAAGTGGCTTGGACTGAGCCACAAAACGTCAGAAATAAAAAAATTGATTGTGCTACTCATTTGAATTTTACATATATATCATTTTTGTTAATAACAGTCTATCCAATACTCAGTTTATTTGAAATAATCAAGTAAAACCTTGTTAATTACACCCGAAACGTATTCTGTTTTTATTTCCTATTTTCATAAGTCGCAGTCAGTGGAAGCAAAATTTCAACAAATCTCACATTGTCAGAAGCAGTCTAACTTCTACAGCACGTAAGAAAGCCTTACTAGCTAAAGCAGTCAGTCGCAAGATGATGTATTCACAGTTATCTAAATCCACCTCTGTCCAACTAAATCAAGAACCTTGGCAAGTTGGAGAGCTGGTTTGGGCTCGTCCTAATTGGCCCGAAAACTTGCCTTGGTGGCCAGCCATAGTAACTGAAAAAACCGAAAAAGTACCAAGCCAAGGGCTTTGGTAAGTTTATAAGTGCAGACATTTTGGAAATTTAATGTTTCTTAGATGTATATTTTAAGTAATTGGTATCAATGTTTTGATTTCTCAATATGAAGTGGTTTATTGGGACTGCATTTGATTTTGAAGCTGGGCTTCCTAACAAGCTTAACATAGACGAGGACATCATATTAATATCAATCATAATAAACGCTAGTACTCTTAGAATGTTGGTCAATACCTTCTGCACCCAGAGATGAAATAATTCTGACTATTTATTTATGATATTCGTAACTTCCACCTGTTCCATACATTCTCTGTAAGTTAATTTTTAGTTGAAGTTGATGGAAGAGAACATGACGTCATATATTTACTTGTGTTACAAATGAGGCTTTTCATGATGAGCGAAATTTCGATTGTTAAAATCAATGAATAGAATGCTAATCAACAGATAAACGCAATAACGTGACGTGACCAAGTAATGATTAGAAACTAAAGACATGACCATTAACCCAAAGAATATAGATTTTCTATCTCATAAAAAGACAGTTATATAAAGAACATGAACACAAAATAAACGTAAGATTTCATATGCGACTAGAGAAGATTAGCTCATGGGTTATTAATTCCCCAATCAATTTGGGCCTATCTGTTAAGCCTAATTTTTAAGCAGTACCACCTCTCACAAAATGGAGTGGAATCATTCTGTGAGAACACTGACAAAAAGATTATATTTTCGCTTCACTTCGTAAATCCCTCAATTCTATTACCAGTCGTATTTTTGTTTCTTTTTCCGATCGCACCTGCCTTGACATAAAATGTAAGACGCTTCAGTCCACAGTTCAGAAAGTTATGACTTCATTGCTGATGGTAAATTTGAATTAGCGGTGACTTCGTTGTATTATTGCTTACAACGATTGTATTGTTGCATTAACTGAGATTTTCATCAGCGATACATTCTTTCTTAAACGAAGTGGCTTCTGAATTACGAATGTGTGAGTGTAGCCCATGCTTTATTTCATTGACAAACGTTTCTGTAAGTTCTATCTACGACTGTATTAACTGAGGGAGTAATGGGTTCCACTTATCGTACCAGCTTGTCTGTTTTGAAAGTGTTCATTACGAAGTTAGCGTTTAATTAATTCTCAAACTTATTTGTTAGATGTTAAACTCAATACATTTATAATCACAAAGTAACTACATATATAAACGTCTTATTCAAACTAATAAACCGGAAGTCTTGAAATCGTTAATTATTGAGGTTGCTCTCCCTAAAAAATATATTTTTTGCCTTTCTTGGGTGTTGCTTTAAGTTAGTAATGATTGGGGGTTAAATTTTTCCACGAATTCGTTCTTTTTTTTAATCATATTATCTAGGCCTGATCCTTTCCATTATCAGTTATACTAATACTGCTTGCACTACCTGGCACTTTTCTCGATAATTTCATTTTGCTGCACTGACATGTTGTAGCAACTTGGACCAACGTATGTGTCAGGCTTTACGTTGTACATGACCGACTGAAAGCATTGTAGAAGCAGGTTTGGGCACCCAGCCCTCACACAAATCGAATGATGAAATGTGGCGCATATTTCTATGTTTAAATAAATAAACAGAAACGTAGCTTGAACGTGTTAATATGCCGCCTCTTTTATCTCGAAAAGTATAACTGATCTACCAGTGAGCAGACTTGTACAACATTTCTGAGTTTTCAATCACTTGTAAACTTTCTGTTTATTCAGAATATAGTTTTTCAAATAACGAAGTAAAATGAGTGCATCTTATTCAATTAGATTTTTATTAGTTGTTAGTGTATCAAATTACAGTAGAGGTTGGTAGATGAGTAGGGCATAATCAAGCAGAAATTTATAAGAATTTTGAAATAATTGTGATATACATGTACATCTATAAATTAATCTATCAAGAGTCATCTTAAAATGGATTGAGTCCAAGTAAGCTCAAGCAAATTGAAATTCGGATTTAGCAAGTAAATAGGTAGATAACTTGATAATGACCGAGAAACTCTGTGTATATACTTGCAAGTAGTTTTTACTAGTCTGAAACTACTCAAGATATTCTTACAGTTCAAGAGTCATTAAAAAGTTGCTTCACTCAGTTGTCCGCTACCTCACTGATTTACATTTTATACTGTATATAAAGGTCTAACCAAAACCTGATTCTGTTGTTAGCTTGAAATAAAACGTGATCTGTAAACATTGTTCCTCACTACCAAGTTGATCCACTCTGTAAGGTCATATTCTTTCAATAATACTTCGAAAATTCTATCTACAATCAAGTTTCTTCATCATTATTTTTTTGTTCAAACCGCATCTATTCCGTGAACCACCTCATCTAAAGTTTAATGAGTTAAACTTCGTCTGCTCATTGCATTATCGAAATTTATCAAAGGGACTAATTGTTTTAAATTTAATGAGTTAACTTGATGATAGCTGATTTGAGGTTTATAATAAACTGAATTTATTGTAATTAAAAGATAAGTGTTTTAAAATCGCGTTGATAAAAAGTTTACAAGTGTTCCCTTCTGTTCATGTAAATATTACTTTACTGACCAAGAGATTCAGAAAACCGAACGGTATCTAAATTAGCTCACTTGCTAGTCATCTTAAATAATTTCAGCTGACTTACCTGGGGTAATGTGTATTTATTAAATGTCAAGATAGTACACTGAAAAAAGTAATCATAACAGGCAGTTGTAGGTTTTTTAATTAAAGACAAAATTGAAGACAAACCATAATTTGTTCTTCTCGTATCTTGACAGGCGCATATGGATAAATGAAGATAGTTGTCAGTGATTTATATAGAGTACATATTGTTTGTATCAGTTGAGCAAACTAACCAAACACGGACACATACATGGAAACTAACTTGACTGTGCCTTCTATCCAATGCAGTGTTTTTTACTCTTCCGTCATTTTTTGTTCTCATTAATAACCTGAAGGAACTGTTATAAGCAATATATCTGAACACCGATTACGCCGGAGCGCAATGCTGACTAGTGTTGAAGACGTTTGGAAGAAAACTAGAGGCGACCAAACCAAAACGTGGCATCAGTCCTTGAAGTCACTAATTTCTAGTCTGAGCCATGTTGGTAGATGCAGACTACTTGGTTGAGGTCCGTGCGACTATTGTAACCGATGGTTGTAGACTATGGGTGACTTGGCTCAGAATCAGTCACAATGGCGTAGGTGTATACACTGTTTGTCTTCCCTTAAACCGTGAGATTAAAATTGCTTTATACCTTTATTTCTACGAACTAATTCTTTCTTCCTGTATCATATCCCTATATACAATTTTGCTTTTATATATTACTACCATTGAAGTAACTGCTTCTATGAATTTGGTGTTCATCTTGTTGTGCTAATGAGGTGTGGCAACTTGGACCGATGCATATATGCGCTTGGTTCCACGTTGTGACTGACTGGATCAGTCTGTTACTGAATTTCTTTTCATTTTTATTTCTCTACTCCGGTTTTCAAAAGAGTAGAGTATGTATGGCAGAAAGTAATTGATAAAATAGAAATATGCACTCCTATCTAATTTTTATATAATAGTAAGAGAACTAAATTAAGATCCTAAGCACGATTTTTATCTTAGTAATCCATTATTTTTTAATAAAATCACTTAGCACTTTATTTATACTTTGTTAACCGAAATCTGACTATGTTTATTAATTTCATTAAGATGGACAAGTTCTTAAGTTTCTTTCCTTATGCATGGAGAAATAAGATCTTTAAGATTTTCTCTTGATTATTAAGTGTGACACATTTTGTTAAAAATGTATTATGTTCTACTGTTTGGCTTAAGTAGGTAGAAAACTATAGACCTATTGTGTTTACGTATATTAGTGGTTGTGCATTCGCGCGACGAGGTTGTTGTTTACGAAATTGGGAGGGCGAAAGGCGAATGTCTGGTTAGTGGCTACAAAGGATCCATCTAAGGCAGTTGGAAAACTCGGGTTGCGAACCAGTAGTATACTTGGACTCCGAGATCTTGAGGGAACAAATGGCGCATGAACCTATTGTTGGTCACCGGCTACCATAGGACTGCATCTCCTAATGTTGCTCCACCACTCTATGGATTAAACCTCCGGGTCAAATGCTCGATGGAGTTGGTCACATAAAAAAACCACCTGTTTCGGTTTAGGTAACTAGACAGCACTCCAGGCCACACACAAATTGAATGATAACTACTTTGTGCGACGCATATATATTTTGTTGTCCGTCTGTACAAATGTTTATGCGTTTATATAAATAAGTGGTTGTGGATATTACTGTCAGTTTACATAAAGTAAATACTGCCTCTATTATAGTAAAACCAAATAACAATAATGAAAATTTCTTTTAAAAAAAAACCATCCTATAGGTTTGAAGTCTACAAATGATTTTAATGATGAAACAGTGCCCACATTTCGAGTTTGCCTCTTGGGTATTATTCGACCGTTGTCTTTTCTAACACTCCCACAAACTCGTTTACGATTATTTTCTGGTCGAGAAGAATTCGAATCGTTTCTCCGTCAAACTGTTTTAGAAGCAAAAGATAAAGTTCGGGTAAGTGAAAATATCTAATTGTTTTCTTCTCGCCTTTTTTACTTCTCAAATAGTTGAATTACTTTCTTATTTCTGATTGAAGCCAAGTGGTTACAGCTTAGTAATCAACTACAGACGAGTTTTTATCTTCTACCTATTTAATCCACCTAAAATCTGATATAACTGACCAACAAAAGTAGTTTGCTGAAAATAAGATATAATTTGTATGTGGGTTGGGATACTGTCCAAACTGAAGCAGTTGTTATCCTTTGGAGGCCACTTCGCGCACCTTCAACCTGAATGGGGATTTCATAAGGTAATGGAGAAACTTCAGGAGCTGCCTTCACAAGGTAACCGATGGCCAAAAACATGTTCGTATGTCTTTTGACCCTTCAGAATCTTGAAACATATGGAATCAGGGTTCTTTGGCTTCCTCTGGTGGGCCCCTTGTATCCACCACCTCTGTTTCAATGTCAGGTATTCGCTTTTCGTTCTCTCACTTTCATAAGGAGCACTCTCGCAACATATGAGTAGGTGAGTATTCCCTGGAAGAGGCTATAAACGTGTATCTTTATGAGAGCATTTTGAGAGGGCGAGCGAACTTCACCCACCATCGGCTGTACCAGAGCATATAGGTATACTCAAAACTTTTCTTGTCGCTTCAGTTAGTCAACGAATATTTCAAGTTGATGTGAGTCATCGGCTTGTCACATATTTGTAACATTACTTCAGCTAATGTTGGTTGATTAGTTTTACTCGTCTTTCCATCTTAAAAATGTTTTGTAGAATTTCAAACTAGTGTTAAGGGTATCGACTATTTCTTTTAAGTCACCAAATAATAGTTTGTTACTAGTTAAACAAGTCCCATATAAATTGACTTTCTGGGTTATAAAATTCAGGTAAATTTTTTATCAATTTATTCATTACTTATGTACTTTAGGCATTACGTCAATTTACTGTTCACCCAAGTTTACAATCAGCTTGGCATCGTGCTAGAGAGGCTGCAGTGGCAGCTAAATTGACTAAACCAGCGCCAACTGACCGATTAGCACTGTTTCCATGGGCAACCGAGCCTTCATTCCGTAAACTGGATCCACTTTCAGAATTTGTTAGAAAAAATACTGGAAAGTTCACCTTATACTGTAAGCTTTTTTAAATGACATTTTAATTTCTTTGGTCATTACTTGGTTTCTATACAAAGTGTTTATTAAAGTTTCTTTAGTGGGATTCATTGTCTCATATTTATTGAGGTGTGGTTCGCTAAACACTCCAGGTAAAACTACCATATATATGTATGTTCTTTGGTACATAAATTGACAATTAACTGACTATTATACTATGAAACTATTAGCATAGTTTCTAGTTTATTCTATATAATTCGTTTACGCCAACATGGGTAATCATAATGATTCAGTGCTTTTAAAAAAAATATTTGAAGCCATCAACAAGTCAAAATACTTTATAAGTATATTCTACGTTTAACTGTTGACTTCTTTTTCGTCTAATCTACACGGCATTTTGTACTTGTAACGTTTACAAGTTTTATTATTTACATCCGCCAACTTAAATTACCCAACAAGCTTTTTGTGAAAGGATATTAGAATACAAAATTGGTAATTTTATTTAGTATCATAATACAAACCAAGTGAAATAACATAGCTGACATTGACAACAATTATTTATTGTAATAAATGTTTTGTTAATATATTATTCATTTGTTTCGCATAGTAGAATAAAATTATAACTATTTATTGCTAGTTGTAAATAAATACTATTGCATAAAGCATTATGATTTCTTGTGTACTGTATTCGGTTTTCAACAAATAAAGGTTGTAGATTTGAATCATGAACTTCTGAATTCAGTTTATTTATCCGTTTAATACCTGTAGCCTTCATACAAAATCATGTTACTCAAAACTGATCATATAAATATATATGTACTTGATAATTTGATAACGCTCCGTGAGATCGTGTCATATTCGATTCATTAAATCCTTAAATTCAATTTATTTTTCTGCGGATTTGTTTACAAATTAATTTTTAAGAAGAATTAATGTTTATTTTCTATTTTGTTTACTTTTTTGCTGAATTTTAATAAGCTAAATCACGTAAACGTCCATACCGAGATGAGACCAGTGAAGGTGGGTCATTTTTGTCGTCATCATCAGATGATTCAGCCACCTCTGTAGCATCTGACAGTGATATAGATTCTAAAGGAAAACATCATCGTCCCAGTTCGTATATTTCTTCTTCTACATCAACTAGTTCCATCGGTCATAGAAAACGGTTGAAATTACCAAATGATAGTTCCAAGGTTAGCTTTTTACCGGTGTTTGTTTGCTTCATTCAATTTTACTTTCTTTTTTTTCCAAACCGTATCGATTTCTATAAAGAATTTTACTTTGTCTTTGTTCAGTATTTATTTTTATGTTGGATAGTTCTTGTGTTTTTTTTATAATAATTGAAAGAGAAATTTATTCATTCAATTAAAAACCAGTATAAAGTACAGTGTGTTATTGTCATCTATTGTAACTTTACTATTGCTACAAATTAGTGTCGAACTAAATCAAGGCAAGCACAGATACTGGAGGTCGAGAACAAGATGTCGATAATAGCAGCGTTTGTTGGTACTATATAAGATGGAAACTTGTGAAGAAGCAGTTTATTACATGTATATAACGCGTAAGGGTATGTCTGTGCACACTCACTGGCACATAATAGATTACTTCGACTGGACACATCTTTTATATATATTTCAGTTTTAGACTTAATCTCATGATTAATTTCATGAGAATCTTTTGTGTTCAGGTCAACAATAGCGTAAACATATCACAAATACGTAGTAAATGCACTTTAAGTGATAGATATGAATTCGAGACTAAATTATGTTTGGGGTTTGAATAAATTTCGAGATCTCCTCAAGGTCTAATAAAGTTTAATATATTTTGATCAGCTACGCTGTTAACAGTTGAATATGGATATCTATCAAACATTCATTTGAAGAAAGTGACCACGCAGTTGTGTCATAAGTTAAAGTTTGTTTTATTCTAAGTACTGTCGAATTAAGTGCAGATCAGCTGATGATAGAAAATCATACTATGGTATTGAATGGTAACTAACTGCTTACAAGGCCTGGTTTGCGCATTAATTAGAAAAGTCGGTCTGATAAGCATTTAATTATAACTCGACTCTTCTCCTTCTATAGACACATAGTTCTCATTAAACATTAATTACTTTTAAGCTTTGATCTTTATATTTTAAAACTTAAAATTTTCACAGCATCGCTGGATAGAATTTCTAATATTAGAAAAGCGTCTTTTTCATTTGCTTTGTCATTGGCTCTACTTTTATTCCTGATTATGATTTTTCAGTTTGTCAACTGTATGCAGTAAACAACTGTCTGAATTCTACATACAGATCTTCAACCTGTCACTCACTGCTTTCTTGTAATTCTTTTTTTTATATCTATTTTCATATTAGAATGAAAAAACTGGTCAACGTTGGATAGATTTAGCGAATAGTTTTGAATTTGAAAAATTGCGTTTTGGTCATACAACACCAAAACATCATTTTATGTGTAGTGTTTGTGGTGAGATCAATAATAACACCTCAGTAACAATCAACAGTCATTCAACAGTAAACACTGCACAACCAATTTTATCCGATGTAGCACATACAACACAGTTAGATTCACAGAGAAATTGTAATCAAGTATCACAACAACATCTTGATAAATTAGATAGTGTAATTATGCCATGTGTTGGTTATTGTGGAAATTATTTACATTTGAATTGTGCTCCATATATATTTTATAGAAGTATTAAACAAAAAATCCCCGATCATAATGGTACGGACGATAGTAATCATCAAGTAATAACAATGAGTAATAATATAAAAGATATTAAATGTTCAATGACAAAAGATCTAACAGTAACATCTGTAATAAATAATGATTCACTACAACCTAACCCAGTTTGTAATCTCTGTTTAGCTGGATTAAGACAGTGTTTTATTTGTTATGTAAGTTGAGGTCGATATTTGTTTTTTTCATCCTCTAGACTTTGTTGTATTTATGTTATCTATATATTAGTGGTACAATTGGTTTCCGCTAAATCAAAAGTTTTCTCCATTCATAATACATGTGTTAACGTTCCTAATAATGAACATGAATAGCTTTCTAATCTAGATGAATAAGAAAAGTTTTGACTTCATAATTTATTTAACTTATCAAAGTCTAGCATCTATTGCATATAAATATCTTTATTATGTCCTTGGAAGAAAAATGCCCATAAGAAGGCTTAGTTTTCGACGATAGTTATTTTGATTTTGTATTTATGTATGAAGTTATTGTTTACCAGTTAAAACACTTAACTTTTAGTCAGTCAACCTTTGGACCACTTTCTTCCCATTTTTATCCAGACTGTTAAGTAATATCACTGGAAATCTTAATGAACGTTACCTGTAGCCCAGTGTCCTAGTTTATTATTATTATTTATTATTATTATTATTATTATTATTATTATTATTATTATTATTCAGTTATCCGATAAAAAAATCTATGTTAATTTAATTTTCTAGTACAGTAATTAAAATATTGAAGTTTCCGTATGTGTAGATCATATTCAATAACTGTTTTCTTTTCGAGTTACTATTGTATTTTTTTAGCTTACACCAATAATCTAACTCATTTACCAAGTACATGTTTATTTCCTGAACATTGGGTCATGCTTTTATTATAGAGGCCAATGATACTACAATGTCGTTCAATTCAAAGTAGATGCTGTGAGATTTAAATCTTCAGCCTAATGGTTTAAATTATAGTGCTTTAATCACTAAACGACTGTCACATACATCATTACTTACATACACATACTTGTTATCTTCCATGACATTTGTTAGACTAACAGATTTTGATTTTACAATGCGATTAAATGAGTCATTTGTATGACCTATCCATAAAAGAAACATGATTTAATAATCTAGTCATACTATCAATGAAGAAACATGTAGATGATGTTTTATGTTCCATAATATTATTATGGCACTTCTTTATGCGTCTTGTTTTTTAATTTTTCTCTATTGTACATAGTCTCAGAATACGTATCAATAACTATTAACTTGCTGCCTAACTTAATTTATCACGACTCGCAGTTAAAGCTATTTGCACAACAAATACGTGCATCTTATTAATACCAGATGAAAGTAAATCTCCTTTTCATACATGTATGTTATCTTTTCTATTCAGAGTTTAAGAAATTTCTGGCAATCAGGAAGCAGTTTGCAGTTCTGTGTCTAACCATCTAAGTACAGGGCTTAACAGACATATTAATTGTTTACTATACATTTGTTATCATAGAATATGAACGAAGCACTACTCATAAGTTTGACATATATATATATATATATATATATATATATATATATATATATATATATATATATATATATATATATATATAGTTGTCCTACACCTCTGCTTTTATAAACTTGGATTTTTGGTATTTATTTTAGCTTACCCATCCAGATCCTCATCTATTAACACTTCAAGGATCCAGTTGTTCAGAAACTCCTTCTGTGGATCATGCAATTTCAGATTCATCTGTTGTTGATAAAATATCTCCGAAGTAAATATAAAAATTGAAGATGGTGTTACTGATAATAATTCACATCAAAAAGATATCCAATTAATATCAGAGCCAAGTAAATCTGATTTACCTCGAAGTGGTGATCAAATGATACGTTGTTCAGTACGAGCTTGTCGACGATGGTATCACCCTAGTTGTCTTCGTAAACCACCTTTTGCTGTTGTAGTCCGAGAAGGACGTTCTGGTTCATTCACTTGTCCTGCACATACTTGCTTAGCTTGTTCAGCTGAAACACCTGGCACTATGCCACGACCTTCTCCTCATTTCATTCGTTGTGTTATGTGTCCTGCTGCTTATCATCCAGGAGACTGGTGTTTACCAGCTGGCAGTAAAGAAGTTAGTATTATTTTTTTATCTGTATAATTTGAGTGTATAGTGTATTCAAATAGTTTTCTTGCTCTTTTAATATTTCTCTGTTCACTTGTTTATTGAGCTAATAAATATTCGCAAAGAATTTAACTTTATTTGTTTACATTCCTAAAATAAGGAATCATTTTAAATATTTATGGTGCATGAGTTTGCTGCAAAAATCCGCTGTCATTTTACTCAATGCGATGTCTTATCTTTTAGAAATGATTATAGGCAGACTGCCGTTTCATGTGATTACTTATTTTCTTTTAATTGTCAAATTCATTCTGGTAGATAATAAAGTGGGATTTCTGTAACCTTAACATTTATTTCGGCACATGCTATTAATCCATTTATGTAATGAATAACATATATATATATATATATATATATATATATATATATATATATATATATATATATATATATATATATATATATATAATAGTAAGATAGTTGGATTTACTAATCAATATATGACCACTAAATAAACTTATTGAAAGGATAGAACGAGTCTATATAAACATTTACGACATTTAGTTCGAAATATTCACAGCTAAGTCACAATATGCATTTATATACATCCCCATCAAATGCATTGTATACGAGAAACTGAAAAGTTTTTTATGGTAAGAAAATCTAAAACTGAACTAGATTTAAACCACTGGGTTTTAGATCACTAATTTAGCACTTCGTCGACTAGGCTTCAAAAGATACTAATGTTTATCAAACCTTATTTTGACTTCATTCATGAAATAATATATACAGTTGTTCAATTACTAATCAGCAATATATATATATATATATATATATATATATATATATATATATATATATATTACACAATCCTGACCAGCCGGATAATCCCACTCCTCAGTTTGTCCAAATATGTCTGAATTGAACCAGTCGCGACCACTATTATTTTTAATAGTTCCATTGACTACAATAACAATCGATAGGTGTCTTGTTAATTCTAACTGACATTCTTGTTTAATAGTAGTAATGGAAATAAAATTATACTAAACTTTTCATTCAAGCAATTTCCTCATGTATGCTATACGTTAGTTGAGTTATTTTGAAAAATCAAACCTTATTATCATTCACAATTGTTGGGTGTGTGTATCTGGATGTAATACTTGGTTATCGAAGATCGAAATAGTTGAGAAGTGTCGGAACTCTCTGAAGAAGTGATACACTAAGTCACAAAACGTCAGGAAATCTGAAAATTTAGTCTCTCTACTCATTGGAATATTACAAATATATTTCTACCCAATGCTCAATTGATTTGAAATATTTTTTGGTTGAGATCATGAATCAATTGATGTTAGACCACCGTTGGAAACCTGGAAGCACTGGACGGCCGTTTCGGAGTCCCATACTAGGACGAAACGGCCGTCCAGTGCTTCCAGGTTTCCAACGGTGGTCTAACATCAATTGATTCATGATCTCAACCAAAAACTTAACAATCTCCACAACCCCCATACTGATGATTTGAAATAGTCAAATCAAGCTTTGTTAATGACATCTACACATTGTTCATAGTCTGTACTGATTTACTGAAATAATAGACTTATGACGTAATAGCACTTTTTCTTAAGTGAAATACCCACGTATTTATAGGTAGTCAACTACATCACCACATTATCTTACATATTACGAAGAGAAAATACTGCTCTTAGTTTTGTTTGTTCAGGTATAACAATCGTGGGGATGCATATGTCCCAATGCATGAGAAATCTGGAAGTTTGTTTAAGAATTGTTAACGACAGGTAACTAACATGTTTTCCTGTGTGTTATTTCATCTAATTACCCGACTATATTTTTTCATGAATTGCTCCAGTTTGTTAACTAAGAACTTATCACATATACTTTTTTTTCAAATTATAAAATGTTTAACAACATTTCTCTTTGCTGATATTACGGTTACAATATTTTCCTTCGTTTGACATAGATTGCTCCTAATTTAATAATCTGTCCACGGCATGCATTACAAGATGAATGCAAATTGTATACTTCACCCCCGAATATCCAACTTAAATTACCATCATCAGGGCTGTTGAATATGTTTCGACCAACTAACGTATCCTGGTGTTTTATCTGTTCTAAAGGTGGACGTATTATTTGTTGTGAAAATTGTCCAGCTTCATTTCATGAAGAATGTCTTAAAATTGACGAGGTAGATATTTTGTATTTCTTTTCGTCCTTATTGTCGTGTGTTGATTTCCTCTCATCATAGCAATGTGGAGTCATTCCATATAATCGTTGGTTGTTGAACCGTATAGTTAGATGCACACTACCTGCTTGGTGTCAGGGCGATTATCGTAACTAGTGATTGAAGACGTTAGGTATCATGGATCAGAACAGGTTACAATAGAGCAGACAAGTTCACTCTTTATATACTTTTTAATCTTGGGTTTCAGCTGTGTTATATACTTTTCTGTTCCGCGAACTCTCCTCGAATCATATTGTCTACATCTACCTGAATCAGTGGTATATATTTTCTGTCCAGATTAATACGTTAAGTGGTGTAGTTTTCAACCAGTTTCATCTATAAACTACAATCATCGACTGTCTACTTGGTCGATAAAATAAGTACCACCACATCTCACCAGAAATTCGAGAAATCCCCAATCAAATACACAATTATAAATTGACCGGATGCTTTATAAAGAGGTTTGTATATCTTTTTAGGATTATCTTCATTACATAGCTGGAAAACTATCAGAAACCAGGCTGGGTTTGACCGTTGGTATATCGTAAGCAGATAAATCCTCTGTCGTCTTGATTACATTCTGAATTTACTTCCATTCATAATTTTGTTGGTAATTTTTGTAAATATTAGTTTAAATTTTTACTGAGATCATAAACCGATCAACTTCAAATCACGATTAAAAACCTGAAGCACTGGATGGTCGTTTAGTTCTAGTAAGTGATTCCTCAACAATGAACATCCCGAACCCACACGGATTACTTTGTCCGTATCCTCTCGAGATGTGATCAGTGGAATGGATACATTTTATATCAGATTCAACGTTCTGTGTCTTCGTTAGACATGTATTTTGAAATACAGTTAACTTTGTTTCAGAGCAAAGACAAATAATGGTATATGTGTGGCTTTGTCCCTCCTGCCTGTTCCCAAGTCATTCAAGCACAGTTAAGATTCAGTTAAACCAGAATTTAGACTCTAATCTTAATACCTTATCGACATGTTGTTTAACCTAATATTGTATCTATTTATGCAAAATAGATTAGGTATTTGTTAATAATTAAGCAGTCCTAATAATCATATAAATGTCAAGTCTCATATGTTGTACATTTTATCCAAATTGAGTGAGTTTAAAGCCTATTTTAATGTTTGTTAACTGTGTAACCTAACGAAGCTATGTAATTCTTATAAACCTATTCTATTCAGTGACTCCTTAAACATAATACAACTGAAAGATAAGATTTTTTCAATATGTTTAGGTCCCTGATAAATTTATTTGTGAAGACTGTACAAACGGACGCATGTTACGTTACGGCGAGATTGTATGGGCTCGTCTACCACCAAGTTTGCAGCTCTACCATCAGCGCTCTTTAAAATTGTCTGGTGTATATAATTCACATCGTCTATCTCCGTTTAATTTATCAGGAACAATCCGTCCTAATGATTATGCGTCACTTACTGCTGGTATGTATTGGTGGCCAGGAGAATTAGTACATCCAAGACATTTACAAACAAGTCAATGTCATGTACAATCTGAAAATAAAGCTGTTACAATTAATTTTCAACCAACAACTAGCCCAACATCACATTCATTTAACCATATACTTGGTTCAGTGCTTGTTCGATTATTTGGTTTAACTGGTCGCCTGTCTCATCGACATTCACGTCCTGTTTATTTATGGACCACACGTGCTAGATTATTTCCATATGAAGAAGGTGATGATAAACGTGGATCTCACAGTACTAGGTAAGTTGATTAGTAATTTTACACTTCTAAAACTTGATACAAATTATTCTGATAATAAGGGAATAATTTCCTAGAAATAATTTTGGAATTTTTTTCTGGATATTTAATCAGTTCAGTTCATTTTTATTTATGATGATGACATATTAGCACAAAAGATAGTCGCTATATATTCAACACTTGTGAACTTATCTCAGAATCTTAAATGTGACAATTGTGTTGTAGTTTGCTTCTTTTTTTTCACAGAAAATCAATCATTCTTTTTTCGCTTTTTAAATATACATCTCATATGGTTGTTGTTTTATTTTCTTGAGCAGTTCATCTCTTAATATCAATAGTTCGCCAAATTTGTGTTTCAAATAATGGTAATAATAAATTATCATTATTTGAGTTAATGGCTGAAATTCAAGAAGTGATTAGTAAAGAAAGGTCTTATCAAGGCCTCATTTTCACTACTTTCGGAAACCAAGTTCAAAATCTTGGTGAACAAACGTAGGTTTACTGAGTAGGTGGGTATACAAAGAATATATGTAATAATGGTCCATTAACAACTCATAGAAGTTGACATTAATTTATTCTTCGTTCGAATATAATAAGATCGTACCCAAGACCTTCAATTTTTGCGATGAGCATTTAACCTGTGTGTCATTGAAGTGGCGTACAGTAACGTGCGTTGATTACCTCAGTCAATTGACAAAGTCGCGCTATCATCACCCAATGTTATAAGTAGATAACTAACTCATTCCCGAAATAGTTGGATTTCAATGGTTACGAAATCTCACTGGAACTTCGGGAATTATCGCTCAAAGTTATTTGCTAGTAAACTTACTAGTAATTTAATTACTTGAAGGTAAACTGTTATACCGGAAAAGCATTGAATTGCATTATGATCAAGAGTTTTAATGATGGGGCTTTGATGATATGGAATTTAATTCTCATCTAATTATGAAAATCTTATTCATAGTTTCTTTTTAGCCTCGATATTCTGGTAACATACTAATTATTTACTGTTTAATATATTCATAATAATATCTTGTAAATTGTTAGTGACTACCATCTTATCAGATACATTCTTATTTTTGAAAGTTTTCAGAATTTCTAACTACCTTTTTGGTGAGACGATAATTTATAGACGACCTTTAGGTGACCCTGAAAAGCTCCGACCACTTAATTGGGTCAAAATAGGGTTATGAGATTAAAGTAGGAGTTTTTGTCAGGAAGTTACATCAGCTTTAATGTAAAAGTGCTATTCAACTATATATGTAAACGGATTTCTTGCAATTATCCAATAGCCTCTACGCTAAATCTGACAGGTTCGTTCAATATTCTTTCAAATGTTCTCGTTTTTATTCTCTATTTGAAGCTCCGATGATGATGACTCTACAGAACCAGAAAGAGAAGGGGATGTTACTCATAAAAAATACCACACAAAACAGCGTCCTAATCGTAACCGTCGTCATAATGACTGTGACGATGATGACGGAGAAGATGAAGATCCTTTGTTGGAATTAAATTCAAGCAATTTACTTATTGAAGAAAACAATAATAATAATAGTAAAAGTATTAATACAAGTTGTAATGAAAGCAGTAATCCAATGGAATCTCCCACTGGATCAATTTACAAGTCATCCAGTCGTTTATCTCGTAATTTATGCTTAAGACCACGTGCAAATAACTGTTTAAATGATGAAAATTCTGTCAATTCAACACCAAATCCACGTACACCACCGTCTGTAGTTAGACGAAAAAAATTTATATACAATGCTGCATTAAAGCAAGCTGCTCGTGGTTATCTTAAAAGACATGAAAAGTTCTCTGAACTTCTGGGTAGAACACGACGTCCAGATTATTATAAACCAATAAAGGTATGTATTATAACAATATTATTATTAGCAAATCGTAGAATATATCCAGTGTTATGTTGACCAATTAAGGTGACGCACAAAAATATCAGAACTGAAATCCCATAAAATGTTATTTATTCCGACTGGAAGTTGGTGTATAGGTTATCAAAACCAGTTAACTAATTAATAGATCGACATTTTTCCAAAAATGACAGCTCACATTTTGAAATCAACTGAGAAATAACAAATCCCAAGATATTCCGTAGGAACAAACATTGTATAATTAGTATGAAAACAAGGAAAATAACACGAAATATATCAATAACTTATAAGTTGGAATACAACATTGATTAATAAGAATCTTGATGATCTTAATAAACTCCCTAGGTTATTTTTAATCAGTTATAGCGTAACTCAAATACAGTGAATCATTTCTCCATGTAGTATCAATATTTCATGGAGATAGTTGTCAATGGTTAGCGTTTTTTTCTCGCTAAGAGCATTTTCTTCTTCATGGCCGGACTATAATAGAAACTCTTCTAAAGTTAGTTGTTGTCCAACCTGCGTCCAATGTGTTTCACTGATCTGGCTCTCCTATCGCACACGCAACAACAAATGCAGGAGACGACCAGTGTAGCAGCAGCCTCAGCGGCAGTAGGTCTCAACATACACACAGGGAAAAGCAAAATTCTCCGGTATCACACAACATGCAACAGTCAAATCACACTTGACGGAGAAGCTTTGGAAGATGTAAAAACCTTTACATATCTGAGCAGCATCATTGATGAGCACGGTGGATCTGATGCCGATATGAAGGCGCGGATCGGCAAAGCAAGAGCAACATATCTACAATTAAAGAATATCTGGGACTCAAAACAACTGTCAAACAACACCATGGTCAGAATTCTCAATACAAATGTCAAGACAGTTCTACTGTATGGGGCGAAAACTTGGAGGACTACGAAAGCCATCATTCAGAAGATACAAGTGTTTATTAACACCTGTCTACGCAAAATACTACGGATCCGTTGGCCAGACACTATCAGCAACAACCTACTGTGCGAGAGAAAAAACCAGATCCCAGCGGGGGAGAAATCAGGAAGAAGTGCTGGAAGTGGATAGGACACACATTGAAGAAAGCACCCACCTGCGTCACAAGACAGGCCGTCACTTGGAATCCTCAAGGCCAAAGGAGGAGATGAAGACCAAATAACATATTACACCGAGAAATAGAGAAAGATATGAGAAGAGTGAACAACAGTTGGATAGGACTTGAAAGGAAGGCCCAGGACAGAGTGGGTTGGAGAATGCTGGTCGGCGGCCTATACTCCATCGGTAGTAAAAGGCGTAAGTAAGTAGTTGTTAATGAACAAGGGAATAACAATGGAGCAGAAAATATGACACCCATAAAATTAAACCAAAACATTCGACAACCAGTACATATTCAACGTGAATTTTGATATCAAGATGATTATTTCGTGTTTTTTTGTGCATAGTTAGTTTCATTCAATGTGTTTATTGTCAACTGAATTCAATATAAATTGTTATTCCCAAATGGTATATAATTATATGTATATTTGACTGTTACTCTTCGTTTTATGATTGCTTCTTATGTAGGTAAATTGGCCACTTGGCTCTGTTCGAGTTTATCGTCTTACAGATTCAAGTGAAGCTCCTCGTTGTGAGTGTAAACCAAATTCAGAAGACCCTTGTGGACCATCTAGTAACTGTATTAATCGTGAATTGCACTATGAATGTTTACCTAGTATATGCCCAAATGGTGATGCTTGTCGTAATCAACGTTTTACAAAACGTCTTTATCCTCCTCAACGACCTTTCTGGACTGGTGATCAACGAGGTTGGGGATTAAAGACTATGATAGCGATTCGTGCCGTACGTATTTTGTTCTATTTTTATCATTTTAGGTTTATTGTTTTTAAACTTTTAGCTTTCATTATGTTTATAGCCTAAATGTTCTGTTACGTAACTTGTAATGTGGTGGTCTACTGATTAGGGTGTTCGACTTACAGCAAGTAAGTCACATGTTTAAAATTCGCTACATCTTCGGTTTGAGGCACCGGATATGACTATAGCAAGTACCTTTGTTTATTTATTTGAACACATAAGTACCGGTACAAGGGGGCACCAGATACATGTGCGCCACACAAATCTCATTTGATTTGTGTGAGGGCTGTGATACTGCCTGGGTGCCCAAACTGAAGCAGGTGGTTTCCTTGGGGGACCACACCCGGAGCCTTCGATCTAAGGGCCTGGCCCACTAGGCAGTGGGGCGTCCTAAGGAGATGCAGTCCCATGGTAGCCGGTGACCAACGATTGGTTCATACGCCATTTGTTCCCTCAGGGTACTGGAGCTCATATGCATCATTGGTTTGGAATTAGGGCATTCTAACTCCCCTAGGTGAACTCTCCGTTTCCACCAACCCGGTTAAAAAGCCATGAACATTCGCTTTTCGTCAACTCAATTTGATAAACAACACCCCCGCCATGAGAAGGCAGTGAGTAGGACCTCCTTGTCAGAGGCTATATACGCGTGTCCATGTGAGAGCAGTTCTAGAGGGAGAGCGGAACCTCCCCACTCTCGGCCGTACCAGGGCATTTGGGGGCCACCAAGTACCTAATTAGTGAGTTAATAAAGAAACTGAAGGTTTTTTTATTAAATGTTAATAATTGGAAAATATCGAGTAATAGACTATGATGTCTTTCCCTCTAAATCAATATTATAAAACAAACTTTTTCAATTATGGTTATATTTGCAGTGATTATTTTTTAGGGACATAGTACCTTGTGTTTTAGTGTATATCATTTAGAAATTAAAATCATGTAAATATTACATAAAGTGCATACGGAAATCTATGAATATTATTCTGTGGGAAGGTGAATATATACTTTAAATAGCCGATTCCTGTTCATCACATGTAATTCTTATCACTATCATGCTATAAAATATACCTTATCATGCACGTTTAGAGTTCCTTAATACAAGATTTTTGTGTATTAGTTTTGCATAGGTTATCATAGGGACTGCTTGAACATAGATCAAAAGAGAGACAAACAAATTGCCGTATATATGCAGTCACACGAAAAAGCTGCAATATATTCAATATTCAAGGACATTACTTCAAGCAGTTAAGAATGAAAATGTTTTTGCAGATAAAGAATCAAACAATAGTATAAATAGTAAAAATCGTGATCAGACTCCAGTAAGAGCATCAAATAGTTATTGATACAACAGGCTTAAAGCAGTACCTTAGGGAGGGGGGTGTAAAGTAAGTCGAAATTCAAGTAGACGTGTTGCTTCGTGCATCTATGACTCAATAATGAATTGAATGCTAAAACACTGAAAGTATCTACTTGAGCTGCAAATCTTCTCCATCAAATCAAATTTCTCTGCTTTTTGGCTAAAATATTTTAATTTTATTCTAGGGTGAATTTGTCAATGAATATATTGGTGATTTAATTGATGAAGATGAAGCTAATCGGCGTTTAAGATTTGCTCATGAAAATAATATTACTAATTATTATATGATGAAATTAGATAGTCAACGTATTATTGATGCTGGACCGAAAGGTAATTTAAGCCGTTTTATGAATCATTCATGTGATCCAAATCTGAATACACAAAAATGGACTGTTAATGGAGATAATAGAATTGGTTTATTTGCTGTCAGGTGAGTTGTTGTTTCGTTTATTCTTCACTAGTTTCCGCTGTTTGTAATATTTTCACTCGCTTATTTTATTTCCATGTCTCAGTATTTATGTGTCAGCTGAGTTAGCTATACTAAAGTGTACACAGTTATCATTCTGTTTAATATGGACAGGCATAGTTTAGCACATTTCCATACTTCATCTTTTTACAACAAGGAATCTTCGTTCTTACTAGTTAATTTTGAAATCATAAACGAGTAGTGCTGTTGTATAATGTCGTCACAAGAATTGAATAATTCCCTCATTAATATTATTATGATTGTCATTACTACTATTATTGGTGATTGAGGTTGTAGTAATCTATAAACTTATCATTTTTCACAAAAATCGTGATTGGAGTGCCGAGAAAAATACTTGATTCTCAACTAGATTTGAACCAATCTCTATATTTTGTAACGAAATGTGTCTACATATATATACTCCGAACATGAATGTCAGTAACAAAATTCTTCGGAACTTGAAAAATTCACAACTCTTAAAGATTCGTAGACATGTATAATGTAATTGAATAAACGATAAGATTTCACCATATGTTTTTCATTACGTCATCGGTAGTATTATTTCGCATAGAGTAGAAAATCATTAGAAGTAAAAATAGCATATTGATACCTGTGTTGTTTTGCTTCGTCTATTTCATACGATTTACTTTAGAGATATATCTGCTGGTGAAGAGTTAACATTCAACTATAATTTTGTTGCATTGGGTCAAGAACGTTTGAATTGTCGATGTGGTGCGTCAAATTGTGTTGGTTTTCTTGGTGCACGTTCAGAATCATCGAGTAATAATAATGGTAGTGGACAAGTTGGCGGTAACTCATCTTCTAATTTTGGTGAATCAAATAATCCATCAAATGCTTTAATTAACACAGATATTAGCCGTGGATCATCTAAACGTCATACCGTTCAAACAAATCCACGCTCCAACGATATTGATAAGTGTCATATGAAAGATGGACGTGATATATGTTCTAGTAAAGTTTATAATCATAATCTATCTACTACTTCACTGATGAACAATAACAAAAACGGTGCGACCAATGTGAATAGTCCCTTGAATATGAATAGACGTCACGAAACTAAATGTTTCCGGTCGGTAGTATATATGGGGATATTTTTTCTCGTTCTAAGTAATAATACTTCATATTTGATTATTTTTTCAAACTTTTGTCCTGTTTGTGAAATTCTAGTTTGGATTCTTAGGATAAATGATCATGTTTAAAGAAATCCGAAACTACCCTACTTATTGTCTACGGGTCTCAACCGATCTCTTGTATAAATGTTTACCGAATAGTAACCGCTGTCATATTATCTAGTGTTCGTTGATTTCTTCCGACCACCCAACACCAAACACACACAAACTTAATTATTTGACTTAATGGTCACATTTCGGCTTTATCAATAGAATTTTATCAGCTATAAGAACTAGTCAACATGATTACACTTGATTCTCGGTGATTGGTTACTGCAATTCATTGAATGCATTATGCAACCATTAAAGCAAAAAAAATAATGATTTTACCGTGAAAGCTGCTACGTTCTTCTTTGTTTAAAACTAAAACACTGATCACTGCCATCCACTCATCTTGACACAAATCAAAACCATACATGTTCCAAAGTAGCTGGAATAACAATTTACGAAGAAAAAAATTTCTAATACCTTCACCCATCCACCAGCGCTGATCAGTTAAAATCTATCTATCACTATTTTCGGTCTTGCAGTGAGCATGCAATTGTTTTCAGTAATTTAGGAATATTTTAGTCTCCAGAAGCATCATTTAGACTAAATATCAATATTCTAGCAATTGCAATAAAGTTAGGAACTATTAGGTGAGTGAATCTCTGCTTCCCACTTTTATGGTAGTAGTGATTTCTCATTTCATAGGAATTATATTTTAGTGAATGGTCACTGTTTTTGCGTAAATCATGAACAGCCTAGTTTTAAAACAATTCAGTGTTTGATATATAACTTGGATGCTTATTATCTTTAATCAAAACATTTCGTAAACAGTCATGATTTACTGTTTCATATTTTGTTCAAAGTCTAAATCCTTAACTTTACGCAACTCACTGGTAAACTTTCATGAAATATTATCAATATGTATGGATATTGTTTTATGATTAAAAGTAATAATTATTTCCAGGAATACTTTATTAATATCAAGATATTTGCTATTCAACTGCCTATTTGTCTAATCGTTGACTAAGAATTGTTTTCAATGCTATTTCATAGATGTGGTGAAAAAGACGCTCCTATTGGAAAGCGACCACTATCATTATTCAGTGAAACATTGATTCTAACGAATTCTTCACACACTAATACTACTATTGTACCATCATCTTCATTGTCATCGAATAAATCTCTAAGTAAACGTGGACTAAAGCGTGAACTAGAAGATTTAGTTGCATCAGTTGTGAATCATTCACCAAGCAAAAGTCAACATGGACTCAGTTCGCCTACATTAATCAGTCGAAACGAAACACAATCATCGGTTTTTATTAGTACTACTAATGCTACGACCACTGAAGATCAAACATCGTACAAGTCACCTGATCTTATTTTATGCAGTAAACACGATTGTTCTAAAGCTTATCATTTATTCTGCCTAGATTTAGATACACCACCTCAAGGTAAGATTAATGTTATTCCCACTTTTTTACAACAAATATTGTATTGGATCTCTTATTTGCATATTTATTCTAATTATAGGTCAGTGGTTTTGTCCCTGGCATCATTGTGACGCATGTGGTCGTCCTTCTCATATTTTCTGTTCCATATGTCCATCTTCATTTTGTCTGGCCCATGTTGAAGGTAGTATTGTTGTTCTGCCTCCAGTTCTACCAAAACGCAATCGTAAACTATCTAACAATCGACCTGAAAATAATGTTGTTGACCCTATAGAAAATAGGAAACTCTACTCTCTTCTTGCTCGAGTAAGTTTGTTTCTTTAACAGGATTTATAATGTTTCGTAACCTTAAAATGGAATTTAATTGGGATTCGAAATGCTGATTACCTGCATCAACATTATTATTATTATTATTATTATTATTATTATTATTATTATTATATTTCCATCTTCTTCATATCTGCTAATCACAGAAAACAAGCACTGTCTTTTGAAATTAATAAAATAATAGAGTCCCATTTAGACGTAGTGTGGTGCATGCTACTTATGCTGACGGATATAAGTAGTATGTAGCAGCGGCCAGAAGTGAGATCCATGCCAGCAGAAGAGTGAGTTATAGAGAACAGAAAGGGAACAGAGAGTAATTTTAATAACAACAGTATTCGAAAGAATCGTGAAGCATGTAAAAGACAACTGATGGAAGATGTGCAAATAATGTATTAAGTGTATGGTTTTCATAGTTTCCGAACTCTCTCTGTAGTTTTGCCTAAAACAGTAAATTGGTTATCCTCACTTATGTTATCGTTTACTACAGTAGCACTTCGCATGTTTCACTTTTCAATATGAAAAACTGATACCCTCTAAATGGAGACACGTTTTCTGAACCTTCATCATATGAAGTGTAAGAATGTCCACCGGCTACCATGGGACTGCATCTCCTCAGGATGCTCCACTGCCTTGTGGGTTGGACCTTTAGATCAAAGGCTCGGGTGTAGCCCTTTAAGATAACCACCTGCTTCGGTCTGGGCACCTGGGCAGTATCACAGCCCACACACAATTATGATGAACTATATTTATGGAAAATGCTTGTCTTGCTTCGATTAACAATCAGACGATTCACATTATTATTATTATTATTATTATTATTATTATTATTATTATTATTATTATTATTATTATTATTATTATTATTATTATTATTTACGTCATTTATCCACTCTCTTTTATTCCCACTTTGTGTATCCTTATTTTTCGTCTTATACAGCAGCTCGCTTATGGTGGAAACTCGGTTCTATCTAAACGTTCTCGAGTCACTGCCTGGTTGAAAATTGTACGCTACCACCAAATACGAATACTGAAGCAGTTTTTCTGAAACCACGTACACCATTCAAACTGGCTGCCTTCAACATTCGCACACTTATGCAGGTCGGACAACAGATAGGGCTGACTATGTCTTTGAAAGTCTATCCGAGACCCGTATTCAAGACACTGGTGAAGTACTACAAATTCGCTCTCCATCTTTCGCTTCAAAAAGCTTGATTTACGTGCGTTTATCGGGGACCTTGTGGCCGGAGACTTGGATACTCAGGTCGGGCGTCTAGGCACAGAAGAGAGTCGTTTAGGTGGCCGATGGAGACTTGTTGGTCGCAGGACAGATAACGGGGACCGTCCACTGCAACTGTGCACAGACCACAACCTGTTTCTGGCTAGCACTAACTTTCGGCACAGTCATCGCCGATTTGCCACCTGGTGTCCTCCCTCTGCATCTCAAGCCTGGACTCAGACTGATCACATCGCGATCAGCTACCACTGGCGTGGTTGTGTACAAGACTGCCGCTCCTTTGGAGTACCTATCTGGACTCTAATCATGCCTTGGTCTGGGCCAATCTTACCTTACTTTTCAGTGGCTAACGAAGTGACCACCACCAAAGTACTGATGTCAGCAAGTTGGTTGCAACTTCTATTGAAAGTAAGTATCGAACCGAGCTAGCTTCTAGGCTAGCTACCACTCCACCGAAAAGTAAAGATGAGCATTGGTAGCAATTGCATGACGCCATGAAAATGGCGGGTACAGTCAGTTGCGGGTTCGTGAAACGTCCCGCTTATGAGCACTGGGTTTCTGCAGGTTCCTTACAACTCATTGAAGCCCGTCGGTCTACTCCGGATGACCGTGAGTTTGTCAGTCAGTCAGTCAGTAACAACGTAGAACTTCGTATGTACGTACATCAGTTCGAGTTGCCACACCACATTAGCACAGAGATGCAGTGGTCGATTCAAATCCCGTAGTGGTAGAGGTAATAAGAGTATAAGCAGTAATCGGGAAGATTAGTGTTTGGAGATGTTACCTAAAGAGTATAATACAGTGAAATAGACTTGAGAGGAGAAAAAAAGAGACAAGGAGAAATAAAGAGATCAAAATTTGGGAGAACACAAACAGTGTATGCACCTGCGCCATTGCAAACGATTTTGAGCCATGTCATTCAGGGTCTCTAACCATCGGTTGCTATCATCTCGCGGTCCCCAACCAGGTAGTCTACACCTAACAACATGACTCAGTCCACTTGTCAGTGACTTCATGAACTTGTGCCATGTTTTGGTCTGGCCGCCCCTAGCTTTCTTCCAACCTACTCCTATACCACTGAACATCGCACGTCGAGGCAGTCGGTCGTTGGGCATACGTAACACGTGTCCCAGCCATCTCAACTGATGAAGTTTCACTACGTCATCAATTGATTTGCCATCCTTACCTAGTACCCGTTTCCTAACAACTGCATTACTTACTCGATGGTCCCAGGATATACGAGCAACATTTCGAAGACACCTATGATCAAATACTAGTAACCTACGAATATCCTCTACTCTTACCGGCCATGTTTCACTGCCATAAAGTAGGACGGAACGAACTGCTGCGCAGTAAACACGTCCTTTGGTTGATAGACGGATATCTCGCCTACGCCATAAATGACGCAAGTTGGCAAAAGCTAGTCGAGCCTTCTGTATCCGTGCTGAGATTTCGTCACACACCAGACCACAAGGGCTGATGAGACTTCCAAGATAAGTGAAGCGGTCGACACACTCAATTACTTCACTCCCTATCATTAGTTCGGGTGTCAATGCAACCCAATCCTGAAGCAACATTTTGCATTTCGAGGCGGAGAATCGCATCCCGAACATGCTTGCATTGTTGCTTAGAGTGGTCAGAAGACTCTGCATTTTGTCAGCGTCTTCACCAAATAAAACTATGTCATCAGCATATTCTAAGTCAACAAGTGAACCTCCCGGTAGAAGTTCAACCCCTGGAAATCTAGATGAGGAAAGTGTTATCTCTAAAAGTACGTCGACGACAAAGTTGAACAAGAATGGAGAGAGTGGACAGCCCTGACGAACACCACTTGAGGTAATCAATTCTGATGACAGTTCGCCATAAGCTCTCACTCGACCAGTTGTGTTCGAGTAGAGAGCCTTTATAAGGTTAATGTACTTCTTTGGTACTCCTTTCAGTGACAAACACTGCCATAGAACCTCACGATCAACAGAGTCGAATGCCGCCTTAAGGTCGAGAAATACTACCATTGTGGGGCGTCTGAATGTGTGTCTGTGTTCTAGAACCTGACGTAGTGTGAATATCTGATCTATACAACCACGTCCAGGTCGAAAACCAGCCTGGTTTTCTCTAATCTGCTCTTCACGAGCTTTGTTAGGCGTCGAAGTATTATTGAAGCTAATATTTTAGACACTATATTAGTCAAACTGATTCCTCTGTGATTGTCACAAGAGGACTTTTGTCCTTTCTTATAGACTGGCACAATCAGTGATTGAGACCAGTCAGATGGGATTACGTCCAGTTCCCAAATTCTACCTAAGACCTCAGTTAATCTCATTGCTAATACTGGACCACCATCCTTAAAAATCTCAGGAGTAAACCTGTCAGGGCCTGCTGCTCTCCCTCGTTTCAGATTTCCTATGGCTTTTTCAACTTCGTAAAGAGACGGAGGACCTACATTAACTTGCCATTCAGGTTGACTGGAGATCGTGGGAAACCGAAGTGTGGCTGAAGGCCAGTTGAACTGATCCCTAAAGTGTTCTGCCCATCGATCCAATCTCCTGGATTGAGAATGAATAATATGTCCATCTTTCTCTGAGATTGTTTCGCTAACAGTCGGTTTCCTAATTCCGGTTTCCTTAACAAGTCTGAACAATTGTCTGCTATTACCTATTGCCGCTGCCTTTTCCATCTCTCTTGCTTTCGCTACCCACCACTGTTCACGATCATTGCGTAGACTTCTTGTCAGCTTGCGCTTAAGCTGACTCCGCTCTTCATTATGTTCAGAGCCAGGTGGAATGAGTTTCCGAGCATCTATCAGTGCGATAGATGCTGCTGAGATCCAGTGTTGCTCCCTAACCTTCTGGTTTACCTTACTAGCAGATATCACTGCTGTTTCCACAGCTTTTCGGATATCATTCCATGCTGCATCGGGGTGGGCATCACATACATGGCTGCCTAACTGTTTTCCTAGTTGTTCCTGAAATATACTCTTAGCTTGACTATCATTAAGTAGGCCCTAAGAGGTTTCCTTGCAGCGTCTTTCCTACGTCCAGTAAGACGCAAGCAAATACGCGCTCGCACTAGAGCATGATCTGAATCTAGGCATGTGCTCCAGAATGAGCGACAGTCTTCTATCGAGCCCCTCCATCGGTGGCTGATAGCGATGTGATCTATTTGGGTCCAACGTTGGGACGAATTAGGGGGTCGCCATGTTAAAAGATGTTTTTCCTTATGCTTAAAGTTAGTATTTGCAAGGAACAGGCGGTTATCTGAGCATAGCTGCAACAGACGGTCGCCATTATCTGTTCTTTGAGCCACGACACCATAAGATCCACCTAGGTGTCTTTCCCTATCGCTTAGTTTACCTACTTGAGCATTAAAGTCACCGGCCACTATTACTACATCCGAGCGCCTAGCTTTTCGGAGAAGGTCCGAAAGCTTTCTGTAAAACTCATCTTTTACATCATCTGAGCTGCAGTCAGTGGGAGAATAGGCAGAGACGACGAAGAGGCAACGACGAGTGTCCCTATCTTTCCGGATTCTTACTGTTCCGTTCAGTCGGACAGCGCACAAACGACTGTCTACTGGGATCCACTCTAAGAGAGCTAGTTCTGCCCTAGGACTCAATGCTATGCCTACGCCTGCGAGGCCACGGGAAGCAGAATCAGGGCTTCCAGATACACGAAGTGTGAATCGAGTCGGTTCTTTATTTTGGCATGGTGAGGTCAAATGAATGACGCTACTCGGATCCTGTATGCGCGTTTCGGAGACGCAGCACACATCGATGGCGCGGGATTCTAAAGTCATAGCTAAGGAAGCCTGCTGTCCTATTTGGCACAGTGTTCGTACGTTAAAAGCTCCTACGTGTAGTTTAGAGCGTGGTTTCAGGAGACCAGGAATAGCGTTCCGCGTACTCGAATCGTTTGCCCTAGCGGTGCGAGGTGATAAAGAGACGTGAGGAGGGTTAGTCATGGAGATAAGAGAGGTATTAGGAGGTGTAGGAAGGATTTGAATGTGACAAACTTGGTCTCGTGTGTTGTTACGGGTATGAGGGCTGATGTCACTTCCCGGCTGCCCACACCGTGGAAGGGTATTTCTTGAGGAACCTGAAAAGGAAATTGGATTAGTGTTGGTCTTAATGACCTGGGAGCGTGACCGCAGAGCCCAAGGGACAACTGCTTGAGGCCGGTCGCGCACGGCCTTTTCGTGGAAGGTTTTTAATGTGTTAGCTCCGTTCCTCAAAGGGCCTTACCGCCGGAGACGGAAATCCGTGAGGTAAGTTGAGGTGTGACATTTTTAGGGTCGACCTTTTCTAACCCCACCCCTCCTTGTGGGAAGGCAGCATCGCTGTCATGCTGGTTGTCTGAAGGAAACACCTTACTACTGTCACACCCCTCTACAGTCAGCAGTACGACTTCGCCCTCAGACCTTGAGTTGCTGCTTTTAGTCTTACCGTTCTCCAGTCGACCTGCCTGGCATGGTAGAACCTATAGGAACATATGTTCCAGCCAATATAGCTCGGTTGGGTCATCACGATATGCCCGACCACCGCGTCAAGATAGCAGCTTCGGTCGGGGCCGTGAGTTTGACCACAAACGAAGGATGTTACGTAATGAAATTGGGAAAAGCTTGCGTAAGGACCAAGAAGCCTGGTGGTCGGAGCGTGCTAATGAGTCGAAATCAGCAGCTGCATCTGGTAACTGCCGGAAGCTCTTCCAACTCATCCGAGCCACTGGCAACAAGAAGTATGGTGTGAGCGAAACAATCTGCGAGGATGGTGGGATGCCAATCACTAACATCCATTGACATCTTGGACGATGGGCAGAATTTTTCGAAGGGCAGTTCAACTAGCCTGCTGCTCCGGCAACATCGGTCAGACTGTCCTGCCCTCCATGGCCGGTGACGACTGATCCACCAAACGAGGAGGAAGTCCGTAAGAAACTCCAACTCTTGAAGCGTTACAAATCACCTGGCCCACATTACTTACCTCCGGCTCTTTTTAAAGATGGTGGTGACTTTCTGAACTCCGCCTGACTAAGGAATTTACGACGTTGTTTACAAAGGTTTGGGAGCTAGAGAGTGTACCAACGTCATGGAATGAGTCGATAGTTGTCCCTATCTTTAAAAAGGGTTCACGTCGTTCCTGTAACAAATATCGGGGGATAAGTCTACTTCCGATTGCGTCCAAGCTATTGGCTTCCGACATACTTCGTAGGTTGTTCAAATCCCGAGTAAGATTGACTCGCGAGGAGCAGGCTGGGTTTCGTTCCGATCGAGGATGTATTGATCATATCCTCACCCTCCGCCAAATGTTAGAACATCGCCATACTCAGGAATTAAAATTATTGATCATAGCCATACTATTTGTAGGAAGTTTAATTGTACCAACATTTAATCAGGGGTATAAATTGCTTACCATCTGGTATAAATGTTTTCATGTGAAATTTTTCTAGAACAGTAATAAGAAATCTATTAAATATGATCAAGATAAACTTATAATTTTCTTGATTGGTACACAACAACAAACGTCGTAAGAAACATGAAACACGATATGTTCAACAACTTATCAATCTTTTTCACTACTGTGTTAATCTCCAATTCTCTGAAAATTAGTAAAGTCATGCACTAGAACTGTAGATGATAGTTACGCTACTGTATCTTTTTTTCTTTATTTCAACTACTCTAGATCGTTTGTATGTTTCACCATGACCTGATAAACAATGTCCACGATCGACCTGTAGTAAAGAAAAAGAAGCTTAATCCATTAGTGTCATCAACGTCGAGTAAATCTGATAAGTGTGAGAAAAATGTTTGTACTGAAATACTACAAGAAGATCATTTGGATGGTAGTAATAGTTACTCTTCAGGATTGATGATGACAAGACGTCAAAGCCTTTTGCGTCAGTCAACAATGTCCCAAGCTGAACATTCCAATAATATTAGTACGCCTAATAACAACGATAGTAATAATTCGACTAGTTCGTGTGGTTTAGAAACAACAAAACAAAATGACTGTCTTTCAAATTGTGTAAGCACAACACCAAATCGAACTATTGAGACCAACTAGAGGTTGGTAGATTAACTTCATTTTAATGTCTTTTTGTATATGTATAACTGTATTACTTATTTTTTTAATCCAAATAATAAAGCTTGTTGTTTATAATTCCCTGATTTGAAAAGCATATTGTGACGGTAGAAATAAAATCAGACTCAATATGATTCAGTGATGGCAACTTTTTTGTTTTATTCTAGGATTTAATACCGATTGGATGTTTTTTTCATTATTTTTAACTATCTATAAGCTTATCAATTTCACAGAACTATTGAATTTATCAGCAAGTTTCGATTCACAGATGCGAATATTGTCTAATTAACAGATTATTTTTATTCAAGCTAAGATATTGCTCTTATATCGGCTAGTTATTGAATGAGAATAGCTATTTTCACCTACATTGATTATAAATTAATGTCTGTTGTATATTCAAAAGTGCTCGTGTTTTGAAAATATAATGGTCTTTTTCTCAGAGTCCAACTGAATGGATAGAAATGACCAAGTTGTTTAAGCTATCGTGCCCATATTTACAATCTTTGTTAACATTTATTTAATCTTTCAAACTTATTGTAGAGGATTATCAAAATTGCGGGAAAACAAGTTTTCATGATCACGATTCAAAATATCACTATTCAAATCTTTATGTTGTATGCTTTTAATATCTACCACACATTTAATATGTTAAACTTGCACTGGATGAACGTCCACTGCTTCCACGTTTTTCATAGTGGTCTAGCTTTAATTGACTCATGAACTCAACTACTAAATTGCTACAATCTCCACAAAAACCCCCTCCCGAATAAAAATTGTAAAGCAATAATCATTATTAATACTCTAAGTACTATATTGCACATTGTAAATAGGAAGTGTATATGTCATGATAAATAAGTAGGAAAGTAGAAGACAGTGAAGATCAAAAAAGCATATCATCTTTTTATAAATCTACTCATTGTTAATGAAACAGCAATTAAAATAAATTAGGATATTAAAACAAAAATACTACATTAAGAATAAACTACCCATTTACATATACAAAAGTTCAATATTTGACATGTCAATAATGATTACATAATGAGATTATTTTATTTGTACAAAGATGCAAACCATAAATAAATAAAATGTAAAGGATAAGAGACAAAATATGAATAGTAAACTGAATAAATGAACATTTCACTATTAATATTTATTATTTATCTTTCTATCTCTAAATAAAGAAATACTGCATTAGAAGATCCCTAATTGTTTTATAATTCTTTTTGATTGTTAGAAGCCTGTTGAAGAGGAAAAAGAAGGGTTGAATATGAGAGAGAAGGATAGGAATGTTTCGACTCATTGCTGACTTAATGTGACTAGGTTTAAAACAATCAACATAAACTGTAGGGTATTGTTTTTCTACTAAGAAATTATGAATATTTTTTTAAAAATGGAGGAAATTGGTGGCCTGCTGAAGAAAGACATCGGCATAATCTACGTCCAGATAATTGTAGAGACAAGCAAATGAAGAGTAACAATGACCTCAATGTAGACATAGACAATTCAGGGGGCAACATCTTTTGAATCGTTTTTGTTGACCTGTAATAATTGATAACAAATATCAAAGTATGCATGAATAAGCATAAAAAGACATGTTTTTAAATTAGCAATGACATTGAAAATATGAATTAAAGCTGAGAACAATCGTCACTGTCAAATCCGAACGAATCAAAACTCAAACCCCATATGAATTCAGAATATTGATAATTGAGTTGGTGGTTCGAAGCTATGCTAGGGGGATGGGAATCAATAGTGGGAGCCTTGAAACGATTACCAGATTTATCTATGCTAATGGTAAAAGTCATACAGAATAGGACGGTTGACTCTTTGAGTTTTACTAGATTCCAAAGTACGATTTGAAGTTGCAACATCAAAGTCAGCTGTTATCAAAGTATGAATAAATTCATTCTTATTAGAGTTTACATTAAATTCGTTCATTAAAACAGTATCTTTAAAAACATTTGAAAGGGCAAGAAGATAGAATTGGCCTAAAAAATGTGATTTATATGCTCTATATGTTTCAAACACTCTGATTACACATTTACTTTCAAAGGTATTTCTTGTGAAAGGTCAAGTAGATTAAAAGTGATAACTGAAAATTAATGGGAGATAAGGTACAGCATAGAAATAATTAAAAGACTCTCTATTATTCATGGCATTAATATGTTACGGACCGTCAACCTAAGTTTAAAATGAAAAAAGTTTTTGAACGCAAAAGTAGATTTTCTTAATACTCAAAATCTTCACAAATTTAAGAACCTATACCAATAGAACAGTTTTTTAACTTTTATGTGGAAGGTGAAGGTTTAAAAATCTATCCTAATTTGGATGTTACGAGATGTTTTCTAGTTATAAACCATAATATGAAGGGACGTGTCTATCTATTTTTTGTGCTCACCTGAGAATGACACCGAGAAAGCTTGAGGCAATCCCAGTAAATGTCCAACCACCCTCAAGTACATACCTCGAATACCCCCTCCCCTATATTCGTGTGCACGCGCATGCACATATGTGAACGAAGTGGAATGTGTATCGTAATTGTCCACACGATGTTCGAAATTGTCTGAAATCACAGGTTCTCCCTTTGCAATGACGATCAACTGGGCAACATAATACCTCCCCGATGACTTTACTGTCTAGGCTTGAAAATTATGATGGCTCACTTTTGCATGATATGATAAAAACCCTACTCGGCTTAGCAAGATATAGTTCTGTATACTACACGATCTATCAAACTGTGATTTACGTATAGCAAGTATATCTTCTGCATATCTTTTGTACAGGGTAGCCTCGCCGATGAGCTTCATAGTATGTTTTTCATTATATAACAAATACCATCTAAAAGTAATCCTAAATGACAATCTTTTTAAGTAGTTAACCCCCTTATTTTTTAAATAATTCGCCCTGAAAAGTTAATAGAAATAAATTTGTTTGACACCTATGCACACATATATTACATTTTGTTCTGAGAACCCTGTCAATAAATGTTTCAATACAAATAGTTACCAACATTAGAAACATAGGTAGGTCAGGGGGGAAATGATTTAGGAATAATGAAACCACTAAAGATGTTTTCAAAGGGCAAAGAAAGATCAGATACCTCTGACCTTCCACTACTTCAAACGAATCATCTAATATGGTAAAACCTACAAAGAACAAATGATATTACTTCTCTAATCCACCTTGATAGCTATAAGTCACTATCGAGTAAAATCAATGATTTTAAACACCAATAAAGCCAATTACTTTAAAGCATGTGCTGAACTATCAAAAATAATGGCTTTTGATTTGATAATCTACCAACAATCAAAGTGTATTGTACGCGCATTAACTATGTTTATGGAAGTTTTCATAATAAAAGGTTTTCAAGTAAATCATTCTGAAAGGGTCCTTTACTGACAGTAATTTATTAAAAAGACTGGTGGAAGTGTTTACATTTAGCTGGGTGTTTAATTATACTTACCATTTGTCCTCGCCAATGACATCGTTTTATGTTGAATTAAATGCATTGTAATCGTTTCAGAGGGTAGTTTCAATTCTGAAAATGAATTACACATAGATACATGCTGAACACTTAAAAAAACAGGTGAGTCCCACCTAGTGATTTCAACACAATTAATGGTTATGTAGCAATCCCACAGTCAAATCTATTTCTTTCAATATACACAATAGGTATTTTCAGATTCTATATAAATGTAACTTATAATCGGTCTCTGAACAGTGTTGAAGTAGAATCTCCGAAAACTAGGATATTTCAGAAAGCTCATCAGTTCAATGATTCCCTAGTTTTAGTTACGTATAGAGTATAAGTGGATGCCTTTGTCCCAGGGAAATGGGGTTGCTGGGGATAGCAGCTGTAACGCCATCGAACAGTTGTCTAATTGGTTGTAATATAAACTATGGTGATAAAATGTAGTGGAGAGGACTATTTATGAACAAATAAGAGAGAGAGAGAGAGACAAGTAAACACATTACTATATTAAAATAACCAGATGAATGGGAATAATCAGAGATAAAATAGGGTAAGATATGCTATTCATACCGAGACATGAGGTGAAGGTAAGACTGATCAGTAAAATAACTCCTTACTATATACAAGTGTACTTAACTGCTATTCTATGTGTAATACGATAACCCACAACTACATACACGATTATGTAGTCTCCTTAAACTGTCTACAGAGTCAGAGGCTGTGATTTCATTTGGTGTGAAAGCGTTTTCAGTAGCACACTCGTAGAGTGAAAAAGTGAGGTTCCGCTTTATCTATCACTTAGAATGAGTTAATTTCTAAGGGGTACCTTCGTGATGCGACTGTGAGCTCCAGGTAGAATAACCGGTAAGACTCTAATTTATGGACGAGCCAATCAGAAGCGTGTGAGGAATTTTAAGGTCACGGCGCTAAGTTCAATACGAAATGCTCATATTCGATCGTTTTACAGCAAATTTTAGAGAAGAGGTGATTTTTGAGCGACTACAACAGATGGGACTATTAAAAAGTTCCTGTATCTGTGACTGTGGCAATTAAATGACTGCAGCATGGTGTGCAGACTACCGTGATGACATTAGAATTCGTCGTACTATATGTTAGAAGATAAAATCTGGCACTTTCTTCGCTCGATCACGACTCAGACTAAGGCAAATCATGATAACTGTTGCAAATTGGATTATGAAGTCACCAGTAACATTGGCTGCGGCTTTTGCAGATGTTACAGTACGTACAGCCTGGCAGTACGATATATACCGATGATTGGAAAGCGTATAGATGCCTCCATAGACTTGGGTTTGCGCACCCTAACCTAGACTCTAACCTTAACCCCTAACTCCAACCCTAAACCCTAACCCTATGCACTATGATTTCAGGACATTTGAACCTTTATCTAAACTTAACAAGTTTTAAACCATGTAAAAGAAGAATATCCGCCGTAATTCATAATTTTTTTATCATGTGTTTTCACTTTATACTAACTCTCTTCTGATTAGCTAAGTTTCAAGGTCACTTAAAAATTCGTTCAAAGGTCGTTAATGGAATATAGTCCTACCGAATAACTTCAATCATGTAGCCTGTATTCAGTAAGTCCTATAACAAGGTCAGACCGTTTCTTACAAAACCCGTTGTTGAAATTAATAGCCGAACGGCTCGTTTATTCTTTTTGTATCTTGCTTTGCTGAAGATCTATATGACAAGCTGATTAAGCATAACTTAATTCTTTAGTACTAGATCGTAAATAACTCACTCGTCCTTTACAGTAGATTGAAACAGAGCGTATCACATGACACTATCAGAAAAAATAATAGACATGACACAAACTAGAAGCAATATAATAAATACACTGATAAGCTATCACGTATTCGTGGAGAAACACACCTGACAGTTTGAGAGCGCCATGCAAAAATCGACCCTGGAAAATAAGTTTCAAGTGATTTGAATCTGGCTTCCTTCCCAAACCTATTGAACCATTACTAGTACTAAATGACTTACTATCAGGCCAATCACTGAACAAAGAAGAAGTAATTTGCTCAACTGTAGTATCTTGGTCATATTTATGCTCAAAGAATGATCCATCAGGCATCAATAACTTCAAGTGCACCTACACAAAGACAGAAAATCTAAGGATTTAAAATTACTGCCATTGTCACTACTATTGACGCTAAACTGTTACATCAAGATCCGAAAACTGTGAAGGCTACATTAAGCTTCCCTAGATTGTAACCCAAAAACTCGGAATAGCGCCACCCGTATTCTACATATTAGGATATTAAATCAACTAACCATCATAACACTAAGTGGATGTCAAACTACTCAGTAAAGTAAAACTCATATTTTGTAGTTGGCGAACCACTGCCAACCTTCATTTTTCCATTCATTGTGGGATATTTTAACCCTTAGAAGTTTTGCTTCTATTTAAAGTTCGAGATGCCATTTGGACTCATTTCAAATCTATGAGTCATCAGATAGAAGTATAGCAATACGAAAAAGCTTACAAAATGCATTGATCTTCATCCGAAAGTTTCTGGATCTGTGAATGATTAACTAATGATCTAGTGAGTACCTAATAGTAGTCTGTTACTCTTTAAAATAAGTAACTTTCTAAACGATTGACTAATGTACTAGCCTTTGTAGATCTGGTTTGTGTTGCGAACTAATAATGACCGGTGAAGTCTCTCGGTAATATTCTTGGACTTTATAACAAAGTGACCTCTCTCTTCACTGACGTGCATACGAACACAGACTAGGAGCGAAACGAGATAATTCGGTATCACTTTTGCTAGTACACATAGACAACCATAGGCATTGACTTAACCGGGGAAATGTTGAAATTCTCAATTGATGGAATTCTAGAAATATACAAGAATTCATTAAAATGTGAAATTCTGACCCATCGATTATCTAAAAGCACATCAGCGTATACCGTCTATCAACGTATCTAGAAAATGTCAATCAATCCTACAGGTTAACCGTGAATGACGGTAGATTTGCGTACAAAAGCGAGTGAGAGCTAAATACCTGCGAAGATAACTAGCCAGAATGATGCTTTTTTAATTTATGAGTCAAAAGTTACTGTATTCTATATGTCAAGGATAACCGGTTTTACGAAGTAGAGTAGAAATCTTCGACACATGGTGTGAAATGGTGATTTAGATGGTGTTACTAATCTCGAAAGCTTGTTGACACAACCAGCCCATCTGCCAGTTCATCACGACAGTAGTATAGTGATAATGTCACAGGTATTCAGTGTTTCACAACGCTTCTACCAGTAACACCTTCTGATATGTTTCGTTCCCACCAAGAGAAATCAAAAGACAGAGTCGAGGAGATCGGAAGAGTATATTTGGCGATGACCAATATACCGGGATTCTCTGATCTAATCTGGCTAGCGATTGTGGTTGATGTTGAGCACGGCGTTACTACACGTGATCTGGTGCGGATGCCTGACCGAGCGCCTTCAGCTAGATGAGTCCACTAAAACATATGGTCAGCATCCAATGTCGAAAACTTACAGAGCTATTTATTTTAGGGATTTATTTACCGCTACAGATCACTCCCCCCCTAGTGGGGCAGTGACGACCCTAAGACGTGGCCAGCCAGAAGTTTAAACCCAACGAGTTTGTCGTTGGTAAACACTCTTCTGATAGCTTACTAAATTTAGCAGCGTCTGGTCGTCTTTCCTTACTATATGGGACGGAGGTACAACATAGTAAAAAAAAGAAAATGTACAATGAAAATTTCGGATCCTCATAAACGTCATCGTTCTTTTCCAGCCGTCCTGGAAAAGAAAAAAGAAAATGTAAGTGCATGTCGAAAATACACTCGTATATGCGTAAAAACACAAGGTCGGCGGAAAAAAAATGGAAAATAAACTCATGAGCACGTAATAGCGTTAAAAAATTGTTTTTTTTGTTTTGTTTTTTTTTAATAGAAATAAAAATATATAAGCATATTAAAATTGTTTTTTTTTTAAAAAAAAAATAATATAAAATGTCGAGAAGTGCCTTACGTGCAATAGTCGTTTAAATGTTCTGGAAATCTCACCCTTCTTCCAGAACGCGTCGTTTTAAGTTTATTTTCGGATACTGTCGAAGTATCTTCGTGTGCGTTGGTTGTCGGATGAGGTATTATTAGTGTCTGAGTCGTGTCGTTCGATTGTACCGAAGGAAAATCGACGTGGATAGGATTTCCTTCTAAATACGCTGCTTTTAAGCGATCGATGCTGATGCTATCGTTGGTTCCGTTCTTATCGACTATATAGTACTTAGATTCACGTTGAAGAACTTTGAAGGGTCCTTCGTATGCTGATTCGAATGGTCGTCGATGCGAGTCTCGACGAATGAAAACGTGTGTACTATATGGTAAGTCAGGTTGAACGAAAACATCAGTTGATTGAGGTCGAGTGGAAGCAGGTTTAACTGAACGCATTGCGTTTGTAAGCCTGTTCGTGTAGGAGGTTAGATCCATGTTCATCGAAGAGCACGAAGGATCCACGAATTCTCCTGGAAGTCGAAGTGTCGTTCCATAAACGAGTTGAGCCGCAGTGTATCCAATGTCAGCTTTCACTGCATTGCGGATACCTAGTAAGACGAGTGGAAGAGCGTCGGTCCATTGTGAAACGTTTGCAGCTGATAGCGAAGCTTTCAGTTGTCGGTGAAAACGTTCTACCAACCCGTTTGCTTGGGGATGGTAGGCGGTCGTTCGGAAGCGAGTGATTCCTAAAAGTGTGGTCAGACGACGGAAAAGATCAGATTCAAACTGACGTCCGCGGTCTGTAGTGATGGTTGAAGGGCAACCGAAGTTTGCTACCCATCGTTCGACGAATGTGCGGGCCACTGTTTCAGCAGTGCTGTCCTTGATAGGTACTGCTTCTGGCCATCGAGTGAAACGGTCTACGCAGGTTAAGAGATAAGAGTATCCATTTGAATCTGGTAAAGGTCCTACCAAATCCAGATGAACATGGTCGAAACGAGCATCGGGAGTTTTAAACGAGCCTAAGGGACATTTATTGTGTCTGATAACCTTAGATTTTTGGCAGCTTACACAGGAGCGTGCCCACTCCCTCACGTCTTTATTCATGCCAGGCCAGCAAAATCGTTCTGCTATAAGCTTGATGGTTGCACGAACACCTGGATGAGAAAGTTTGTGCAATGTGTTGAAGACATTGCGTCGATAATGTTTCGGCACGATTGGGCGATCCCTACCTGTAGATGTGTCACAAAGTAAGGTTTCCTTACCTGTTCCCATCTGTTTGATGCGTAGTTTAAGTGTTGTGGACGATAACTCGTGCTGAAGATCACTGTCTTCTTTTTGAAGCTCGGCGAGTTTAAGAAGGTCGATTCCTTGGAAACTGTTCAAGGAAGTTATACGAGATAAAGCGTCTGCAACTACATTGTTTGCTCCAGAGATGTGTTGAATATCTGAAGTAAACTGCGAAATGTAGTCCAGTTGTCGAGACTCACGGGGAGAGTACTTGTCAGAAGGAGAGCTTAACGAGAAAGTGAGCGGTTTATGGTCCGTGAAAAGAGTGAATTCACGGCCTTCGATATAGTGTTGGAAATGCCGTACAGCACAATACATAGCTAGGAGTTCCCTACCGAATGTGCTGTACCTCGATTCGGTGTCTAGCAACCTTCTAGAGAAAAATGCCAAGGGTTGCCAGGAGTTGTTAACCCATTGTTGTAAGACTCCTCCGATTGCTGAGTCGGATGCGTCTACTGCGATGCTAATGGGTGCTCGGGTGTCCTGATGTGCGAGCATTGTTGCTTTAGCAATCAGTTCCTTGACTGTGGAGAATGCTTTTCGTGCGGTGTCGTCCAAATTAATGGATTTCGCATTTCCACGAAGTTGGTCGGTCAGAGGTTTCATAAGTGATGCGCATCTGGGTATGAAACGTCTATAGAAACTTACCAGGCCGTTGAACGTGCGTAATTGCTTGACGGTGGTCGGTTCTGGGTAATCCAGAATGGCCGCCACTTTGGTTCTAAGGGGTCGGATACCTTGAGCATCGATAGTGTGTCCCAGAAAGTCTAACGAGTCGGTTCCAAATTGGCATTTCTGAACGTTTACAGTTATGCCATGTTTTTGTAATCGTTCGAAAACAAGGTCCAGATGCTTGAGATGTGTTTCTCTGTCCGGACTTGCGATTAGACAGTCGTCAACATACGCGTGTACGAAGTTGAGACCTCGAAAAACGTCGTCTATGAATCTTTGGAATGTTTGAGCAGCATTCCTTAGACCGAAAGGCATTCGCAAAAATTCATAGAGTCCGAAGGGAGTTATGATAGCCGTTTTCGGTATGTCGTCAGTAGCCATAGGGATTTGGTTATACGCTTTAACCAAGTCGATTTTCGAAAAGACAGTTGTACCTTTCAAGGTAGCTGTCAAATCGTGAATGTGAGGCAACGGGTAACGATCGGGAATGGTTTTCGCGTTCAATCGCCGATAGTCACCAGTTGGACGCCAATCGTTGCTGTCCTTTTTAGGGACCATGTGCAACGGAGATGCATATGGGCTACTTGACGGTCGTATGATTCCTAAGTCCATCATGTGATCGAATTCGTTTTTCGCTAACCTTAGCTTTTCAGGAGCTAGTCGTCGTGCTTTAGAGAATACAGGTGGTCCTGTAGTCGTGATGTGATGTGTAACATTGCTGGTTACACACGGTAGTTTCGTTGAGTTTGTTGTATCCCAGGGTACTTATCGAGTAGTGGTTGATAGAGTGGGTCTATCATATGTTTAACTGTGACTGGGGATACTCTACAACCAGTAAAAGAAGTTACGCAAACGGACAAATTAGTGTTTCCGTCTACTAGCCTCCGTTTGCGAGTGTCGATGATCAGATTGTGGTGTTGTAGAAGGTCCATACCAATGATTGGCATAGAAACATCTGCAACGACGAAAATCCAGTGGATGGGTTTGCGTAAACCCACGTTAAGGTAAACGTACCTTTTGCCATACGTAGCGATCGGTTTTCCGTTTGCCGCCTGTAAGTTTAGGGTCGATTCGTGAAGTCGGTCGTTAGGATTTGCTGGGAGAACGCTAACTTCTGCGCCAGTGTCGACGAGGTAGCGAACTCTCGTTGTCACATCTGTGACGAATAACAGACGGCTTTGTTCGCCGGCTACGGTTGCCGTTAACGCGTGCCGGCTTGGAAGTTTCCCGAATCAGTCGGTTTCGTGTTGGGAAAATTGCAGGGTTTTCTGCAATTTCTGGAAAACTTTCCATACTGGTTATGAT